TTCCAACTAAAGAATTCCCATATTGCCTGCCTGCTATAATGACAATTGCTTAGTGCAAAATGTGTTTCATTCAGCAACCAATCAAGCAGTTTTATGCAACTGCATTTGTATCAAGCAATGATTTAAGTAAAGGTATGAGGAGTGTGCTTATCACTAATATCCCTTCAACACCTTTGTAAGTGAACAGAATGTTGTGTATACTTCTCACAGCTGCTATCTGAGCCCTTATGCTTTCCCTAAGCCCCCTGTAATCACCCTCTTTAAGCCACTTCACTTGTCCCCCTCATCTGCATTGTATAGAACAGGGGCAGGCAAAATGTGGTCCGGGGGCTAGATGTAGCCCACCAGGCCATTCTATCCGGAGCTCCTAAAAATTTAGAAAATTAATATTTATCTGCCCCTGGCTGCCTGTCATGTGGCCCTTGATGGCTTGCCAAAACTCAGTAAGCAGCACTCTGCCCAAAATAATTGCCCACCCCAGTATAGAAGCACTATTAAGGCTCTTTACAAATGAATCCTTCCCCACTTGTCTGCTCTTATATTTTATAGTGTCTTCTACTTCACCAGTGACAATTTCCATCACCCATTTGTTCACCTTTCGTATTCCTTCTTCTATGAATGTCTGTCTTAGCTAACTCAGAAAACTAATGGCTAGTCCATATTTCATCTGCCATGATGCCTACAGTCAACTGCCTGATGGTGGTGGTGAGACAAGTGTAAAGCAGAGATTCTGGATTGAATTGGTATTCATTGTTTATATATGTCTATATAGATGGACTTTAATTTTACTCAATTTGCATGCTTCTTGTCTATGCAATGGCACTCCTATACAACCATTGCTCTCATTCTCCCTCCCCATCACCTTAGATCAGGGGCGGGCAATTATTTTGGGTGGAGGGCTGCTTACTGAGTTTTGGCAGGCCATCAAGGGCTGCATAACAGGCAGCCAGGGGCAGAAAAATATTAATTTTCTAAATTTTTAGGGGCCCCACAGGCCAGATAGAATGGCTTGGCGGGCTGAATCTGGCCCATGGGCTGCATTTTGCCCACCCCGCCTTAGATTGTTTGCTACACCCACTTACTGTTGCTTGTTTTAAAAATTAGGCTTTAACCTCTTTGAGGAAAGTTCCAATCTCTCACTCTTTCTTTGAGTAGCACCTAGTGCAGTGGATCTTTGGTACTTAATGGGACTTCTGGATGCTATAGTAAAACAAACAACAACAATATCTGTTGCTTCTTGCAAAGATATTGGACTGACATCATATTTTTGATGCAGGAAGTTTTAAGGCTTCTATTGAATGGCACAGCAAGTTCCACTAGACACCTTCCCACTCTCAGAACATCTTTATCAAAACATAGTAATGCCAGACACTTGAAATTGTTGCAGTTCTAACAAGTGGGAGGAGAAGGCTTTTGATCACTCATGGCAGTAGCAGTTCCACAATGGCACTTTCACAAAGGCTGTTTCAGCATTACACCAGATATAACAGTTAGAGCAACCTGCTTTGGACAACTATGAGTTTAAGAGTGTTTACACCATGCAGACCAATGGGTAAATCTCTGATGTATAAAGGTAACAGGGTAAGTGATCACAGTGGTTTTTCTCTTTTACTGTCAAGGTGATTTTGTTTTCACTGCAGTTGCAAAACCTAGTTCTGTGTTTCATTCCATACGTACCTAGCTGTTCTTATGAGTTGCGTAAGTGCTTCAAGAATTAATGGATTGCCACAAAGTATTATCTGAAGAAAAGGGAGTGCATAGGTTCATTCTCCCCATGAACAATGCTTGTGTGCAAAGTAGGGAGCATAGAGAAGGACACCAGTTAAACTAACAGAGATTTCCTAAGGAAGAAGTTAATAAAGTAGATTGTACACAAAACTTTCCATAACCATTGAAGACTGCCCTATTTAGCTCCAGATGTTATCAAAGAACGAAGAGGTGATGTAGTGGAACTTGCATTAGAAATGGAATGTGTAGCACTGTGTACTTTTCAAAGACAGCTGCTCTCCAACATTGAATCAAAAGAAGCATAAAAACCAATCTGTGATAATGAAGAACGTTTGCAAAGTCCTGTTCCAACCCTTTAGAAATCAACATTTGCTTCCACAATTTCTTTTTCAACCAAATTCTCACAACCCCAATTTTAGAAGCAACTGAAACAATGTAATGAAAACGGTCCCCAAGAAACTATCATGAAACAGAATGGTATGTTTATGCATAGTGTGATAAGTAAAGATCTCAGTGACCTTTAGTTCCTTATATGAAAGCAACCTTTGGTTTACTTCAAAAGCACAGGTGTGTAAAAAAGTCAACAAAAAAGAAGCTTGAAAAAATTTATTTAAGGCTATCATTTAATATCCTAAAAGCTTAGCCTTTTTATAACAAAGGTTTAAAGAGAGGAGTTTACTCCTCAGACATGTGTGACAGCCAGCCCCTTACTAATAATGCAGGTAATTGATGATTGGAATCATTTGTATGTAGAAGTCAACTTTATAGAAAAATAATTTTATCACTAAATGTAAACAGAGTTATTTTGGCCCTAAACTAATGGAACATATAAAGACTTGGAACATTTGCATTCATAAGTCTGTTATTTTGTGTGTCCTGTTGACAATAGATGTTTCCATATATAATCTTTGGTAAACACTACACTATAGTGAAATTCAATTTCTGGTATGCAAGGTGGCATGGCTTTAGGATACACCCCATATAATTGACAGAACACTTATTTCAGAATCTCCTAGTAGCGGCAATTGATGCAGTGAAG